TCAGTAGTTGAAAGACAGCTGAAAGAAAACATACTCATTCACCAGAAAGTGGAATTGGAAAACGCAACCAAAGCAGCCGAGTTACTTCTAAATCACAGGCAGCTATTATGGACTCGTAACATTTTCAAGTAACCAATACATCCATCGCTACATAAACTCTTGAATCAAAGTAGTGAAGCCTCGAATATTTCGACTGCTCATATAGAATTTTTTCTTTCTGGCTTACAAAAATTCGTTCCCTCCCTGCTCTCTCACCGACTTGTGTTTTCAGAGCTTTTGCAGAAAACTTTAACCCGAGTTGAGGTACCCGACTCATTATTCGACTAAAATTGTCAAACGATGACTGTTTTTGACTGTTTGAGGTAAACGGTGCTGTTTTCAACCTAAACGGGGGACATTCACTTCGCTCCAGTTTATTTGACATAGCCCCGACACCGTTCGATTTTTCCGACATTGCTTATCTTTGCACGAATTTTTTTGCAGTTGAGCTTTTATGTTTAAAAAAAAGTTTTCGAAAATCTTTTAGCATTTTTCGACGAGTTTTAATTGGATTCATTCATATTAATTCACTTTGTACCGAAAGTGGAGCAAAGCTCAGTTTCGCCTCTTTTTCAAATTTTTCTTTAGTTTATAGATTCTTGTTTCAAATTTTCAATCAAAATGATAGCGTAGCAACCCCGAATGCTGCAATTGCCTCTTAACTGGTCTCGGATAGTTTTTGGTGGGTCAAATTTTCATAAACTATAAGCTTTCGGTTCCCAATCTCAAACTTAAAAAAGCTACAATACGTATTCGGAGTTAGTTTGACGACTAATTTGTTCTGACTCACGTCAAAATCGAAAGTTTTTGAGTGCGAAATAATTAGCGACGGATAAACAATTGCAGCCGTATTTAATCTAGTGCAGGCACACTTGCTTGGCTACCCAGAGATTTCAAGATTAATTCCACCGCTGCCCAAACTTTTGTCGAGCTGATCCTCACTTTCTTCGAAGAAGTTGGAACAAATATTGATAATTGTGAAAAATTTTTTCAGATTCAATCTTTAACACTGCAAGAGCCCTTGAAACTTTCAAGAAACCTCATTGAAATTTTTGATTTAAGTTATAAGTACAGACTTGTTGCTTGTTATTGAATTTTGACCTGTCAAACCATGATTCGATCAGGCCCTCATACAAATAAAATTCAAATTGTTTCCATCTTTTTGAGTATTATATTGAAACTGAACCTCTATAGCAAGGTGTTCGGGAAGTTTCTTTTCAGGCAGTTTATGGGTGCAAAAATGACAGTTTTCTTAAGCAGATATTTCCTTGCATTTTTACACTTCAGTCGTTTTTTGGAGGTGTAAGTCAATGGACGAAGTAAATTTCGATTATTTGAAAATGAATTTGATACCTGTTGCTTTTAAGTGATTCTGAAGCTAATTCCATGTCGCACGCATCGTCCTTTTTTAGTGACTTAAACTGCATGCCTGAGTAAAAACTTTTTATACAATATTTCCATGAACTGCGCCCAATTTTTAGTGCAATTTGGTCCCCTAGTTTTCACGGAAAAAGGAATAACCGAATGAAGCCCAATAGGAGCCCAATATTTAGAAATTTGGGCTCATTCATCCTCTTCTCTGGAAAAATGGCGCTCATTCAGCCCCATACTGAGAATTTCGGGACAAAATGGAGTCCTATTGTCTAAGAGATGGGCTCATTCAGCAGTTAAAAAAGTTGTTTATTACAAGCGTAATTTAAGACCAAGTCTGTCGAAATGAAACTAAATCTCGAAAACTTCAAAAAACGGTTTTTCCAATTACGTTTCTCAAAATAAACAAGGACAACCGAAAATCTTCAAATTAGCGTGGTTTGACTATAGAACTATACAAAAGTGTAGAAATTTAGTGAATTAGGCATAAAATACTAAAATTATTTTTCTGATTTTTTTTCACTAAAACTTAAATTTGTATAAAAATTTATTGAAGCTTCCAAAACTGGTTTTCTTTTTAGTAACACCAAGTTTTTTGAACTATATTTAACGACAATGACTCAATCGTTTTACTCGCTCGAAATTGGACTAAAACGCAATAATTTTAAACCGGTTTTTCTCACCACTGGAAAAATGTTTTGAAAGATTTTTACGATCTTTCGAATTACGACTGAAAGGGCCTTAATATGATATATAACTTGAGTCACTCCGATGCTTATTTGTGGTAAATTATTTAACGAAAACAAAAAGAAACAAGACTGCTCGTATCAGGGCGAAGCCCTGAATGTTCCGACTGCCTTTTAAGGTTTATGAAGCAGGAATAACAATAAAAAATTCAATGAAATAAAACAAAAGAAAAATTTTTCTTTTCTAAAATGTGATATTTTTTTATGAAAATTATCCCCCCCCCCACACACAATATATAAAGTACAAAATGATAGATTTCGCTCCTTGTAACAAACCAATTATGGCAAATAAGCTTCTTTTAACCAATTTGGAACGATTTCTAAGACGTATTAACTCTCCGTTTACGCGTTAATAGCGCGAAATATATCGCGCGGTAATTGTCCCAAATTTGCCGAAATGGCAATCATTAAACCCCCGTAACTTTACGAAAAATGATCACAGGTAAAATATCTTTTCAAATTTGTGCTCAGGACAACAATACCTTCGAATGTCATAAAAAATTCCGTCAAAAATGGCTAGTTAAAAAGTCGAAATTGTCTGAAGAAAAAAAAACCCACCCCGAGCACAAATATTCCGTTACTTTCGTATCGAAAGTCGGAACAAAAAAGAAAGAACTAAAACACAACCGAATACAAAGTTCCTGCACATTTTTAAAATGGTGGGAACAATAATCGGCCTGGCTGTGAGAGCACTTCGCCAGCCGTTTATATGAACAACTAGCAGTGTTCATCAATTGCACGCAATACACATCAGCCCAATTGTGTGCATTGAAATGTTCAAACTAATCGGGTATAAATGGGCTATTATTTGAATACGTTGGACATAAGCCGCTGATATATCAAAATAGAAGCAAAACCTTTTTAGTTTGGATGAAAGCTGTGCTGGACAGAGATCCATCCGGCGGAAAAGATGTGCAAAAGATCTTCATGTTTGTGGTGCGTTGTTGTTTAATGTGTAGTACGGTATTCTTCATTGTTACTTATGACGTCATTCTAATCTAAGCCGTTATTCTAATGTTGGTTATCAAGGTCGCTATCGACCTGTCAAACCTCGGTTCATTTCTAAGCAAGCTTATTCATTCACTCTCTAGTCGACTTATGAAAGATTTTAATAGACACATTTTATTGTCATGACATGATTTGTTAAAGTACTTTTTATTCATATATCAAGATGAATTAAGTCTTGACTAGCAATCTCAGTTCTTTGAGTTATCACATGGCGCAGCCAGCAGTTCCGGTATCAGACGACCGGACTGACCTGTTAGGCGTTCCAGTATTCTGGCATAAACCAACAGCCGATCCACCCAGTAGTTGGGACTCCTGGATAGGGCAATTCAATTTGGCCATAACTTTACGGGAAAGGTGCGATCCGCGTGACCTGCTGAAACCGCCAGAAGTTGTACACGATGATCCAGCTCCAAAACCGGAGGCGGTGGGAATCGATGAAGATGCAGCAGCCATAGCTAACCGTATAGCAAGAAATGATGCAGCTGCTCGTATAGTGGCAGAGCTGAATGAAGAACATCGAGCTAAAGGTCCCAGAGTGGCACCGGGTGTGTATTTCTACGAAGAAGAACAAAGAATTAAGTCTCGTCTCTTCTTTTCTCTGGGCTCAGAAGGAAGAAAACGTTTTCTTCAAAGCTATCCGCATGCGGACCTCAAAGCAATTTCATTTTAATAATTTCATGAGTATTGTGTTCTTCTCTTCAGGAAGGAGAAAAATTACATAATTGAACGTCTGCAAATTTACAATGCCGTGCATGCCGAACGCGAAAAATTAGAAACTTTTTATTTGCGTCTTACGGGACAAGAAGCCCTGTTTGGTTGTTCAATTGAACAGGAGAAGGAAGTGGTGAGAGATACTTTCATTGCGAAAATGAGGTATAAGGATATTCAAAGAGAACTCTGTATTCGCCCAGGGACCACTCCCGAAGAACCGTTAAAGTCAGCGTTACAACAGGAGAAGAGGACCCGCATATTCGAGCTGGAGCTCCTCATTAGGACCAGATAAAAGAGGTAAAGGCTTGGTCGAATTAAACGAAGTGTTAGCTTTGAGATTCTTACCAATTTTCGTACATTGAGGACAATCTTTACAGAGTTGTACAATATCACGATGCATCCGAGGCCACCAAATATATTGGACTGCATCCACCATGGCAAGCTGACCCGCATGTGACCTGTGAAGACGGTCAAGAAGAGGTTTTCGTAGGCAACTTGGGATAGCGATTCGGTTGTCCACAACAACACAACCATCGACTACAGCTGCACTTTGCCAGAAAGATTTCAAATGAGCATCTATACGACAAAAGCTTTCTTAATAAAGCAACATCGGTTTTTTATGGGCATTCTCAACCATTCACAACAAATTTTGCCGAGCCTTCAGGTCTATTCAGACCGACTCCGCCCATCGCTGAAAACGAATAACAAGAACAAGTTCGTAAGGGGGGAGGAGCAGCAATCTGCTTTTTCGAATATTCTCCAGTTGATAGCGAATATCCCAAAGTCGGAAAACTCGAGTAAAAAGTAATGCCAGTCATAGTGGTCTGGTAGCAGCATTAGAGCAAGAAGTAGAACCGGACATTTGGGTCCCTATTGCATTTGCCTACCGTTTCCTCAATGATCAGGAAAAGAAGTATGGTACTAATGAATTGGAACTTCTTGCAATTGTTTGTTCATGTGAGCATTTCCGCAATTACCTTTTGGGTAACCATTTTGTTGTTCTTACAGATCAAAAAACAATCACCTCAGCACTTAAGACTAATAGGGGAAACAAGACCCATCAATCACGTTTGACCAGATGGGCTGATCGGTTATTGCCTTTTGACTTCGATATATCACATAATTCTAGTAGTAAGCTGGGAATAGTGGATTATTTATCACTTTTTCCAATTTTTAAAGCACCGCCAGCAAGTAATTTTGACGAGCAATATGTGGTTAAGTGCATTAGCCAATTTTTCGACGCTTGTAATTTCTTGGACCGATGGATTCAGGTTTGTTCATCCTCGGAAGTTTTGACCGAAGGTTTAGCTTCTTCTTCGATTATTTTAATCGAATGTGGTAATTATTGTCAGTCTCGGGATGATTATTCCGTTCAGGAAGTTTTGTCGGATTGAGCATCGGACTCAATATTGTCTAGTGGCGTTCAACCGATAGAGGGCGTCGATTCTACTGTTGATCGTAATTTGATTCAAGAAGTGAAACCACTAGAGGGCGGTTGTCCTTTTGTCATTCGATCTAACGAATTATTTAACCAATTCAATTGTATCAATTCAATTGTTAATCCTCCGCTAGAGGGCGTTAGAATTTTTGTTCAAAAATCTGTCCAATCAGCTTTGAGCTGGCTTATTTTATTAGCTGTACCTTTCACAGCATGTATTACAAATTATCTGCCAATCTCGATTTTTTTTGGTTATTTATTGCTGTAATTCTCGAAAGTGGGTCATTCTTTTATTTCATTGGCATATTCTGGATTAATATGAATTTTTGGGCTGATTGGTGTTTGTTCTTCTTATTCGGGTCATCTATTTTTCAGACAGTTGATATGGGTTCTGCCATCATTGACAGTTTTGAGCAGTTGCTAAACCAATTCGTTCCAGTCAATCAGCAATGGTTTTCTTCTGACCGTGCCCGGCCCAGGTTCCGTGCAGGGGCAGTTCGCCCGAAACTTCGGACGTCATCTCAACGTGGGGCGGCTTTGAAGGGCCAATATGCCCGGATTCTGGCGAATTTCCGCTCGCGGAGGCTACGGAAGTTTAGCCCAGTGGGACGTGCTGTGCAACCAGTTCTCAGCCTAGATATTCTCAAGTCGCCAGTGGTAGCCCCGATCAGAAATCGTTATCTGGGTTGGTGGGTATCTTGGATTCCGATGTGTTATCAGAACTCACAGACGAAGAACCTAGTCTACGCTTGATAAAACGAGCTCTGATTAACAAAGATTATGAAGGCTTTTGTCGTATAGATGCTTATTTGAAATCTTTCTGGCAATGTGCAGCTGTAGTCGATGGTTGTGTTGTTATGGACAACCGAATCGCTATCCCAAGTTGCCTACGAAAACCTCTTCTTGACCGTCTTCACAGGTCACATGCGGGTCAGCTTGCCATGGTGGATGCAGCCCAATATATTTGGTGGCCTCGGTTGCATCGTGATATTGTACAACTCTGTAAAGATTGCCCTCAAAATACGAAATTTGGTAAGAATCTCAAAGCTAACACTTCGTTTAATTCGACCAAGCCTTTACCTCTTTTATCTGGTCCTAATGAGGAGCTCCAGCTCAATTATGGCGGTCCTCTTCTCGATTCTGTTGGTAATAATATTTACATATTTGTCCTAAAATCTTATATTCAACATCATAGTATTCCAAAGTCAATCGAAACAGACCACAGTACTAAGGTTTTAAGAATAAGTTATTTCAAGCGTTTTGTAAAGATAAAAATATTTCTCAATACTTTTCCCGGTCGGTGACCATCGAGGTTGTGAACTGGTGGTACGTTCCATCCAAACCATTAAGCGTCGTTCGGGGGCTTCTCGGTTGAATCCAGATTTTTCTAATGTACAAGATACGCTTCGACACATTATTGAGGATATTCAGGTGACTAAAAACTCAGTGATAGGGGTTTCGCCTTTTGAATTACACTTTGGTCGTCCTCCGAATACGGAATTATCCCTTGCGACGGAACGTCTATCTACGCGTGTTAATTTAGATCGTCAACATCTGGAACGAGACCTCCTTACTGCCGAAAAGCGTCGGGAGCAGTGTGACAGCCGACCTCGAATCAAACGAATCAAAGGGCAGTCTAGCCTATCTGTGTCACCATATTTTGGGGGCCTACAGAGTCGGTTGCAGAAAGTCCCCATTATCGCGCATTGGAAAGTCTGGCTAAGTCTGCCAACCAGTGGTTGACCCTAAAGTAGACTTTGTCACATGAGGAAGGCGTCAAAGCTCTTAGGACCCTAACAGAGCGCAATAAGGTACTTGCTGCCACCTTGAGATCAAATCTTTCCGCGGGTACTCTTTGCTTCCGGAGCCAGATGCCGGCTGAGAAAATTCGTCCGTCTCAGCTAAAACGTAGTTTGGATTATTTAGTTTTGAATGATCCGAGTAAAATCTAAATGTTTCGGAAATTTCTTAATAAGAAGTATGGTCGGGAACTATTCAACCCTTTCAAAGGTAAAATTGTTAGAGTTACTGGGGCTACATATATTACAGACAAAGGTAAAGTAATAATCTTGCGGTGCGCCTTATATCATCGTGTATAGGTTTTTCTGGCAAACAAGCAACGCCAGTCAAAAACGGGCAAAAGCGCCCCCATTGTGTCAACGTTGTCATCAACGTCGCCGGAGGATAATCGACTCCTAAGGTCATCTAATCCGAGATCTCGGGTGTTTGCCAAAACAGTATCTGTTCCTGTTTGTCCTCAGCCTCCTCTACTATTGTCTCCCTCCACGCCTGAGCGGGCTAAATCCTCTGTGACCAAGTCGGCGGACAAGTTAGTGTCAGATGCTCCTGGCATACAGTCTATTCCTCGAGATGCTACTGCGGATGTGGACCTTACGGCCTCTTCCTCTACCTCTGTAAATTTTCTTCCGGAAGTGCCTCTCAGTGTGAAGTCGAAGGCAACCTCTCCTGCTAATTTTGCGATCATCTCTTGCCCGGATTTGATCCCTATCTCGTCGGATGATGAATCGTCAGCTCCGAAATTAGAGGATTGTTCTAAAGGTTCAAATTTGGCTGTCTCCGGCCTACCCAACTGTGATGTATCAGGATTTACCTCGGATCTTGATGGAAATATCTCCTCAGCGTCCAACTCGTTGCGCACTTCCTCTCGCTATAAGAAGCAAACTTCTTTTTATGGTAGCCCAATTCGTCACTCTTTGAATCTAATTAATTCACCTATTCCATCCAGCTCGACTCAGGCATCTCCGGATAGAAGGGTCAGTTTTGCCAAGGACCAACAAGAAACATCTCTTCAGTCGGACCGTTCTCGGGTCTGTTCTCCCAGCGAGGCCGGGGGCTTTACTAGGAAGTTTACTAGATTTCCTACTGTCAACTCGTCATGGGATAACCCGCTGCGACGGAACGAAAATTAAACTTTGCTGTCCTTCCGTTGGTCATAATCGTTAGATTTAAACTCTTTACTAAAACTCTTAGTCTGTACTCACTGAACCGTTGAGTCCTTTCAGTCTTTTCAAGTTAAATTGTCATTAGTGCAGTTTCATTTGAAAATTCATATGTTCCATTTGAATTTTCCCTAGAGGGAGAAATGTGGTGCGGTGTTGTTTAAAGTGTAGTACGGTATTATTCATTGTTACTTATGACGTCATTCTAATCTAGGCCGTTATTCTAATGTTGGTTTACAAGGTCGCTATCGACCTGTCAAACCTCGGTTCATTTCTAAGCAAGCTTATTTATTCACTCTCTAGTCGACTTATGAAAGATATAAGTAGACACAATTTATTGTCATGACATGATTTGTTAAAGTACTTATTATTTATATATCAAGATGAACTAAGTCTTGACTAGCAATCTCAGTTCTTTGAGTTATCATTATGTTCAATAAGACATGAGAGTTTGAAAGCATGCCATACAGAACATTTGCTATTGAAACAGGTGCTCATGCTTCCCAGGTTCTTGCCAATCAAGCAACATGGACACAAAACTAACTGCGGGTGATCTGTGCCGAGAAGTGCTCCACTCCTCGACAGTTCGATTAGCATCATTCCACTGATTGGAACTACTGCTGCGCTTAGCACTTCTCTTTAGGCTAAGTGCACATCTCACGGGTGAGATGGCGTAAGGGGTGAGTTGACTACAACTAGAGGTGATTGTGCGACAGGCAATAAGGAGTGAGCGATTCCCTAGAACATTTCCTAATTGCATCTTTGTTTACTTTCAGAACATTGATTCCAGGTTTTCATTCTCCTCAATTATTGCCCTCCCCCTACTGTACTTAGAAACAGTTTTCCACTTCTATAAATCAATGGTACTGCTATCAAGCATATACAAATTTAGTTATTGTAAACGCATGATCCCTATTTTACAACAGCTAAGGGGGGGGGGGGGGAGGATTCACAACAGCTTGCGAGGGGGACGGGTAACAAAAGAGATCCGTGTGATATCTATTTGGGTAAAAATTATTTGAATTTGTTACCGTAGTCACATGCTGGTCAAACAACTCCTTTCTTCAAAACCAGTTTATAAATTGTCGGTAATAACTGCGGCAATAACTCCTAGCTGGACAGATTAAAATTAACCAAACAGATTGGGTGTTGCCTGACAATGTAAAGTTATGTCATCATCTTTGCTTGCATGATGTTTTTGTCGAGTGGGTTTGGTAAATTTTTTGCAGATGCTACTGATGTTGTCTTAGGGAGCACAATTGTTCATTCATATGCCATTGGCACTTAAAAAAGCAATGAAGTTTTGGTTTCTGGAAGGTCAATAAAAATACGAGAGCTTGTTTTTTTCCATCATAGTATTCTGAATAGAGATCACCCAAAAGTTGAATTTCAGTCAAAACTGGATGCTAACTGGACTCACGTCCTTCTCTATTACTTCATGGAGCGGGAGGGAGGGGGGGGGGCTATAATGGGACAGATTTGCATTTTTGTCGTACTACTCTAGCTATCTAACACTAATGAGTAATGCCAAAAAGAAAGAGTATCTAAAAGGAGTAAAAGTATTACTGTGCAGCAGAAGCATCTGTGCTGCTTGTTGTGTTCCGAGGGAGCAGTCTAGTAGGCTACTGCTGCGGCTACTGGGACTGGGGCGGGCAAAGGGAGGGGGGAGGAGGAGGAGGAGGGGTAGGGGTGCAGTAGGAGCTAGTGATGATGACGAGAGGCAAGTCAGTGTCATTCTACATCTGCGAGTGTTGGACTGGGCCCAACTGGAAACAACCACGACAGGCGAGTGGCCAAAAAGCAAACACACATCTGCTAAGCATCTACAACATAAACAATGATTTAGTTGCTCTAACCACTTTTCTAATTCACACAAACTGAAACTTTACTTTAAATGAGAAAGCGCCCAATCACAAAAATGCACTATGTTTCCCTGACAGGAATGATATCTAAAAACACCATGTTTTAGGCTTCAAATCACGCAACGTTGCGAGTTTGCGTAAAGTTTCTTGTTTTTAATGAGCACCAAACTAAGCTAAGCTGTCATAACTGAAATTGGTTTTTTGGCCTTTCTTCATTTGAGTTTTTTTAGCATTGGCATGAAGTAAAATGAGAATTAAGAGACTTTTAAATTGGTGGACATTCCACAGCTTGTAGTCATCATAATACAGTCACGAGACAACAGAGTTATAACTCTTGGTTTTCAATCGAGGAAATGAACAAATGTTTATGAGTTGTGTAGTTGTTTCTGCAAATGTTCAACAAACCGCCAAATCTACAAATTGCCATACCTTGAAGCCGCGAATACATTAGAATAATGCAAACTGCATCAAAATTAGGTAACAGGCTAATTAGCAGAAAATTATCGTCTGTTTCTTAAGACAATTTGACTATGTAGACTGCAGCTCTGATCGTAATGTAACGTTTTTTTCAGCATTTTTGCTTTTAGACTGGGATCAAAAGGCTTGTGCTGAGCAAAGTTTTACCATTCTGTACTAGATTATGTTGCGATTCGATATTCGAACTCGAAAAAAACAGCAGCTTCAATATTCGAACTCAAAAAAAACTGCAGCTTCAAGGTTCTGTTTGATAATCCCGGTTGGGCAATTGACAAACCGGTTTTTTTCACCAAAAATTGAAAAAGCCTTTACGAGCTTTATTTTAAGCGAATAAGAAATTTCCCAGCTAAATAGAAGAAAAATATATCGTCTGTTTGTTAAGGCATTTTGAACATGTAGCTTTGATCGTAATTCAACGTTTTTTAAGCATTATTGCTTTTAGCCTGGCATCAAGAAGCTATAGTTCTAGAGAAAGTTATGCCGCGTTGTGCTAGAGTGGGCTGCTTGCGATTGCTCACCTATCAAGTTCTTTCTTTTTTTTCAGTCCGCTGAATATTTTCAAAAATTTTGGAACGTTGGAAAATTGCTCGACGGTTTTGTTAGAGAATCTTCCATGCCCGCTGTCTTCTCGAGAAGGGATCCCAATTTGAGGTTGTTCGCCTCTTTTGAAGCAAGATTTGAGCGGTTTGAGCGGTTTTTTAGACGATTGCGCTCCAAATCTTGCTTCAAAAGAGGCGAACAACCTCAAATTGGGACCCCTTCTCGAGAAGACAGCGGGCATGGAAGATTCTCTAACAAAACCGTCGAGCAATTTTCTAACGCTCCAAAATTTTTAAAAATATTCAGCGGACTGAAAAAAAAGAAAGAACTTGATAGGTGAGCAATCGCATGCAGCCCACTCTAGCATAACGCGGCCTAATTTTCTCTAGTACTATAGCTTCTTGATGCCAGGCTAAAAGCAATAATGCTTAAAAAACGTTGAATTACAATCAAAGCTACATGTGCAAAATGCCTTAACAAACACACGATATATTTTTCTGCTATTTAACTGGGAAGTTTTTTATTCGCTTAAAATAACGCTCGTAAAGGTTTTTTCAATTTTTGGTAATAAAAACCGCTTTGTCAATTGCCCAACCGGGATTATCAAACAGAACCTTGAAGCTCCAGTTTTTTTTTAGTTCGAATATTGATGCTGCTGTTTTTTTTTTCAAGTTCGAATATCAAATCGCAACATAATCTAGTACAGAAATGTATAATTTTGCTCAGCACAAGCCTTTTGATCCCAGTCTAAAAGCAAAAATGCTGAAAAAACGTTACATTAAGATCAGAGCTGCAGTCTACATAGTCAAATTGTCTTAAAAAACAGACAATATTTTTCTACTAATTAGCCTGTTACCTAATTTTGATGCAATTTGCATTATTATAATGTTTTCGCGGCTTCAAGGTATGGCAATTTGTGGATTTGGCGGTTTGTTGAACATTTGCAGAAACAACTACACAACTCATAAACATTTGTTCATTTCCTCGATTGCTTCTTGATGCCAGGCTAACAACAAGACTGCTCGTTTCAGGGCGAAGCCCTGAATGTTCCGACTGCCTTTTAAGTTTTATGGAGCAGCAGTAATAACATAAAAAATTTAATGAAAGAAAATAAAATGAATTTTTTTTTTTAATTTGAATTTTTTTAAAATAAAAATCATCCCCCACACGCCATATAAAGTACAAAAAGATAGATTTCGTTCCTTGTAACAAATAAATTATGGCAAATAAGCTTCGTTCAACCAATTTGGAACGATTTATAAGACGGATTAAATCTTCGCTTACGCGTTGATAGCGCGATTTATATCGCGCGTTAATTGTCCCAAATTGGTCAAAATGGCCAAAATGGCAATCTTTAAACTCTCATAACTTTACGCAAAATGATCAGAGGTAAAATATCTGTTCAAATTTAAGCTCAGGACAACAATGGCTTTCGAATGATATAAAAAATTCGGTCAAAAATGGCTAGTTATAAAGTCGAAATTTGTCTGACGAAAAAAAACCCACCCCGAGCACAAATATTCCGTTACTTTCGTATCGAAAGTCGGAACAACAACAACAACAACAACAACAACAACAACAACAACAACAACAACAACAACAACAACAACAACAACAACAACCTCAACAACAACAACAACAACAGCAGCAACAACGCGAAGACTACTGTTTAATTTCTCGGTTGAAAACAAAAAGATTCTCTTTGTCACGTGAAATATTATGACACTGTAATTTGTAATAGTTGGGTGAGTGGGATGGGAATGAGCCTTAATATAAGACCTAATGAACCTGCATTTTAATAAATTGAGACCATGAAAAACGACAGTAATTGTTACAACACAAGAATATGTGCAAATCTGACCTGGTTGTATGTTTGGTAGACGTGCCACTGCTGTGCCTCGCTGCGGAAGTGCCCCCCCTCAAAGAAGTCGACACCCCCCACACCATGTTCCATCCCATCTTCACAGTGAAGTGTGGTGTCTGTCTCGCCACTCATAAGATTAGGCTGCCACCCACGCACTCATTCAGTATCAAAAACAGAAAGCGAGCATAGTTCTCAAATAGAATAGGAGACTATTGAGAGTAGAGAAAGGAACGACGGCTGCTCATTCCTATTAGCATATACCCCCCCCCCTACCCAGCCTCATAATTTTGTTTTACCCACATCACAGTAAGATATATGTATTATAAGGGGCCGTGATTTTTTCAGTGTACTGCAATGGGAAGAATAAAAAACAGAAGAAGCTGAGGGCTCTTTCCTCCCCCCCCCCCCCTCCTCACACGAGCATATTTTTTTGGTGTAACGAGTGGCTTTACGAGGTTGGTTAGCAAGACCAAATATGTCCTAATTAATTATCATGTGAACAATTATTTAAAGTGAACAATAAATTTACTTGTAAAAACTTGCAGGTGGGGGGGGGGGGGAATATGGGAGGAAAACGAGCCACGATGAAATGCGGTTTAAATTGAAATTTAACATTAAAAAGTTATACTTCAAGTGAACTGTTTGGGATGAAAAGTTAAGCCCTCTGTCTTCTTCTTCCAATGATTTTTTAAATTTCCGCAAATTGTTTTCTTTTGAGAAAATTCAGTTTATCCTTCCTTGACAGCTTTTGTCCCTTTCGAATGTATGTTTGTAGTTTTCTGGATCTTTTTTGGATCGCAGTTTTTCTATCGCAGTATTTTAGAGAAAGAAAAAATTGTATAATTAAAATTATAAAGGATATACAAACAGAATTCAGAATAGCTTTGATTAATTTTGTCATTTGAGTGATACAATAAAACTATACGTCGGTCAAATCATTCAAAAATAAATACAAAATCAGTTCGATTTCTTCATACAAACAAAAATCGCTTTTGGCTTTGAAATTTGCAGAAATATAATGAATGCTGAAACTTCATAGGTGTAAGGGGGATTGTTCTATCAAGAGAATAATGAATAAACACTTCCAGTTGTTTAATGTTGTAAATTGCAGTATCGAGAGAAAATGAAAGACTGCACCCTGGTTGTAGCAGAAATCGTATATATTTATCCATATGGAGGCCAACATTGTTCATTCTGATGCATATGTATTGGCGATCGATCCATCTTTCTGGTCGAGTGTATCTTAAGTCTTAAGTGTATTTGATTTGAGGTTCATTTTTTGAAGGAGAAACTCAGCCCCGACTGCAGCTTCTGTTTCAGTTCGAAGCTGGCGTGCTGGTATCCCCCCATCGGCCCACTGCTAAACTTGGGTCCCCCTGAGCTGGTGTAGTTCTGGGGCTGCTCCTGCTGCTGCTGTTGGCTGCTGCTGCTACCATAGTCTACAGTGGGGGTGTGGCTGGTCTGGTAGGCCACCCCTCCCGTCCCACTGTTCATGTCATAGTAGCTCTCCGCCCCACCCCCTCAAAACAGATGGAACAAACCTCTTTTACACTCTTGTTACTTTTCCACAATTACGTCCCTCTTAGTTTTATTTGATGCACAAAAACATCAATTCATAAACTCTAAAGGCTTTTGTCGGCCATCGAAAGTGAGCAAGAACCATGGGTTCGCAGATGTTTTCTTTTCATGGAACATTAAGTACCAAAAAGAGACACCACATACTATTGAAATTGAGTCTAGTTTGAGCTCTTTTTTTAACGAATTGAACCGAATAAAATCCCATAAATTTTTCATGTTAAGCAAAAGTGCTGCAATGACGCTTTTGTAATCGAGCTAATTAAGTACAAAGAGGAGGTTACTATAGCTTAGCCTTCACTGAATTGGAGTCACTTTTTGATTACATGTGACCTCTTCTTAATAAACACCAAATTTTGGAATCTCTTCAAATCGTCGACCAAAACTGACATTGCCCATAAGATGGCATTAAATATGCACTAGTTAAACTATTCTCAGCCCAGCCAACAAGCATTTGAGATAAAGTTCAAAAAGTTTACAAATTTCGAGTGTATTCTGTTTAATGTGATTGCGATCAGATTTATTGCATCAATGGCACCGAAAATGATTATGACCATTGAAACTATTCTACTTATATATCCCAGCTTTTGTATAATTTTAGCTATTATAGTTTCTCATTCTGCACAACTTTAACTAATTCAATTGCCCCTGCTTTAAGAAAAAGGATTATAAAGACCCTATAAAGAAAAAATGGGGAAGTAATTAAAGAGATTTCATTTTCGTGTCCATTAACTTGGGTAGCAAATATTTTTTTTTCTTGAAAAGAACAGTTTTGAGGAGTGCAAAACTGATTTGAATTACCCGGACAAAACGAACAAAACTAGAATTGTTAATTACCGTTTTCTCAAATTGGGTTAAAATTAGACAAAAGGGAAGAAATCAAAAGTAGCTTAGAATTTCATCAGAAATAATATTTTGCAATTTTGTCTCCGAAATTCTCAACCAAAGTTATATCCCAAAATTTTGTTAATTGATGAGAAATATATATAAATATATATATCACAAGAAGCCTCTTACACAGCCCAACAAAATTCTAGAACAGTTAAATCTCCAAAAACATGTATAAGAGAAAATGTTTTTGCTTGATAGTCAAGAAATTTAGTTTTTGCCATAAGACCCAAAATTTTTGCTTGAAAACAAATTGTAAACATTGTATTCAATTCTTAGAGATTTACATCTCTGGAGCTTTGTTGGGCTTATGAGAGGCTTCTTGTGGTATATATTCCTCATCAATTAACAACGTAGTTTCAGCATAATTTTTAAGTGATTGAAAAAAAGCCAAAATGACCCATTTTTTGGGTAAAATTTTAGTTGAGAATATTGGAGAAAAATGGCACCATAATAATTCTGGTGAAATTTTAAGCAATTTTTGTTCTCTTCCCTTTTTGTCTAATCTTAACCCAATTTGAGAAAAACGTGGTTGAACATTCAAGTTTTCTTCGTTTTTTTTTCGGATAATTTAAATCAGCACTTTAATATGATAGTGCAAACCAAACGCGAATCAATCAGCTGTATTTTAAAACAGTTTGCAAAAATTGTAATTGATTGCCTTGCATTTGATTTCCATTGTAACAGGTTTTTTTGAGATTTATTTGTTTCTGCATGGAAATTGTTTTATTTGTATCATCTTTGTTAAGTTCTTTTTTTTTGTAGACTGAATTTTGAAATTTGTACTCAAGATCTTTAGGAAAAATTATGTTTTTGATACATAAACAAAAACGTTTTAAACACAGCAAAGAGCAGCAAAACAATCTTTTCATTGGATTATTATAATGATTTAGCTATTATAATTTCTCATTCTGCGCATATTTACGTAATTCATTTGACCCCTGCCTTTAAAAAAGCTTAAGACCCTACAAAGAGAAAAGAGGGAAGTAATTAAACAGCTGTTTTTTTTCAAAGTTACAACCTATTTGTTCCGATCACTGAAAGTGAGTACTTTGTCTTCACATTTGTTTTTTCAAGTTTTTTCCACGCAAAGTCAGGTTCTAAAAATATTTATCCAAATATGTCGTGTGATATATCAAATTGAACCCATTTCAGTTGTGATTTTATTGACTTTAAAAAATGTCAAACAGTTTTTGTGGTTTTGAGAAACACAGGTTTGAGATTTCGATTTTCAGTCAAATTTCGACGAAACAAAATGAGCGTAAAAAAGTAGGCTTACATTTCCCTAAAAACTACAGCAGTACTTTTGAAATTTGAGCCCTAAAAACTACAGCAGTACTTTTTGAAATTTCTTTTCCGCCTTTTTGGGAATAAAAAGTTTTCAAAAAAATTGAAAATATTTTCTACAGACATTTTTTTGAAAAAATTTTAAATCGTTTTTTAAAGAATTTTCATGTTTCATTTTTTAAGTTTTGAAGAATATGCTGGTCAAAACTCTGCAGCTAACAAACAAATGGGATGGAAATGGCATATAAATAGTAGAAATTGATTAGAAAAATTAAGTGGATTGAAGTTGTATGATATTTATTAACTTGAGTGCTGATGTTTTTGAATGAGTGTGGGGGGGGGGGGGGGTGTGGGTGGGTTGTTGTTGTTATTGTTGTTGTGTTGTAGTTACCTGACACTGTAGTAGGCATGTTGAGCTCTTCATTATCCAGCAGGTTTGTCTCCTCCTGTCGTCTGGCTCTGAACTCCGCCTCCTCTCCGTAGATCTTCCTGAGGGAGTAGAGACTGGGGGCATAGATGCAGCTGGCCAGACCCACTATTATGTTGAGGAAAGTGAAGCCGACGATGTGGACCATCCAGCCGGACACGACTGGGCCGAATGCATAAGCGAGCGAGTAGGAGATGTCGGCTATGGCGTACACACTCCCATATACGGAAGTGTAGCGACTGTCCACCAGGTAGGAGAGGGCGGGGATCAGGGCAGTGTCCACCAGGGCCACCCCGAAGCACATGCCGCAAATGGGGAGGATGAGGAGGGTGAATGTGGTGCAGGCAGGAATGAAACAAGTCGAAAACCCGATCACACACAGACCTATGCCAGCATAAATGTACTGTGTTTTGGCGTACTTGTTCGACAACTGCACGCAAAGATACACCCCAAAAATGTGAGGGAAAAATCCAGGCAGCCAGATGATTCCCTGCTGCCATTGGTCTGCATCCATCGAATCTTCCATCCAGGTAGCGATTGTTGGTTCTAGAAAGGCCAGTGAAATGTTAGCCATGATGAGAGCAGCTGAGATTACAAGAACGTCAGGGTCCAAAAGTAGTTTGTAAATGGGAGCATGGGGCACTTGTGCATGTTCCTGCCTGAGTCTGCGGGAGTTCTTGGAACTGACGAGGAGCAGCATGGCCGCGTCAATGAGGGCCACGCAGGCTAGAAACAGGAAGGGAACTTCTTTGCCGCAGAATTGGTACAGCACTCCGCCGAAGGGAGGCGCGAATAGAAATCCGAATGAGATGAACGCCAGTGCGATTCCGAGAGCCCGGTTTCGTTCTCGCTCTTCCGTGAATCGGTCGGCTATCATCGCTGCTCAGGGCACCATGGAAATATTTGAATTCTTAAGGAAAATGTTTTCTTTTTTTAAACTATAAAACTATATTCGAATGAAGTCATTTCTAAGCAGCGTCTTCTCTTTTCATTATAAGACACATAATAATTATATTAAAAATAATAATAAAAATGATCATAATACTAATAATAATAATAACCATAATAAAAATGATAATCATAATAATACTAGTCATAATACTAATAATCATAATAATAATAATAATCATAATAATAATAATAATCATAATAATAATAATAATAATAATAATAATAATATAATAGTAATAATAATAATAATAATAATAATAATAATAATAATAATAATAATAATAATAATAATAATAACAATAATAATAATCATAATAATAATAATAATAATAATAATAATCATAATAATCATAATAATATAATAGTAATAATAATAATAATAATAATAACAATAATCATAATAATAATAATAATAATAATAATAATAATAATAATAATAATAATATAATAGTAATAATAATAATAATAATAATAATAATAATAATAATAATAATAATAATAATAATAATAACAATAATAATAATCATAATAATAATCATAATAATAATAATAATAATAATAATAATAATAATATAATAGTAATAATAATAATGATAATAATAGTAATAATAATAATAATAATAATCATAATAATAATAATAATAATAATAATAATAATAATAACAATAATAATAATCATAATAATAATAATAATAATAATAATAATAATAATAATAATAATCATAATAATCATAATAATAATCATAACAATAATGATCAAATAATCATAATAATGATAATCATAGTCGTAATAATCATAATAACAATCATAATAATCAGAATAACATTCATAATAATCAGAATAACAATCATAATAAAAGTAATAACAATAATTTCTCTCTTGATGAATTTCTGCCTTTGCATCTCAAATATAGTTCAAAATTACGTCTCATTAAAAAAGTTTACAAAAAATTTCATAACAACAATGTTATTTGAATTATCAAAGCATATTTTGAATAGAGAAAGGTTTTTTCGAGAAGGCCCATTTTGAATTATGATATTGACTTGGAGTAAAATTCAGATTGCTAGTTGGAAAAATGAGCGTGAAATGAAGTTTGAATGCAAATATTTTCCTAATCCAGCAGTGTCGGCGAATGCAGATCCGATGCCCTGCATGCACCTGGCCAAGAACAGGAAAGTGTAGGTCTCTCCGAAGGCGAATATGGTGGTGGATGTGAACATGACGAACAGGCCGAACACCATGGGCACTTCGTAGCCCACTCTGTCAATCAAAGTCCCACTCACGGGGTTGGCGATTAGTTGGATGAAGGCCTTGCTAGCGAACAGAAAGCCCAGACTAGTATCTTCCCCTTCGTAATAGGTGTCCGTTATGTATGTCGAATTAACCCACGCCCCATTCTTCAGTTCGTTCTTCTGCCCATACGAGGTTCGAGTGTCCCAAGCATTCACCTTTCTCAGATAATCCGGAATGATGGGAACTATGACCATATATAACATGTTGTCTAGTAGCAGTGCGCAGCTTACGATTATGAGAACAAGGATTCTTTGGAATTTTCCATCCTCGATTCTAGCCTCCATGTTTTTGTACATTCTCATGATCGCTTCTGAAGAATCGGATCGCTTCGGTGCCTCGTTGAATCCCGAAGTTTTGTCGCCGTTCAATCCCGAGTGCTCTTCGGTGTTGTATTTCAAGTCGGATCCGGCCATTTCGTTCATGTTTTCTCGTCTTTCACTCGTCTCACTGTGCTCCAGTTTTGGAGTTTCGAAAGTCAGGTGTTCAGCTTTGAGTCAGGCAGTATAAATATTTTTGAGTAAGTCGTGTTCCTTTTGCATATGGTTTTGCTGGTCGCAATTTGCTAAAATATCCGAATATGATTTTTTCCTGCTATGAGTTTTTCTATTTAGAACTATGACACCAAAAGAAGCTGGAATGGAAACTCTATATTAAATGACTGTGTTCACTGTCGTCTCTACTGACCGAGCAGGGTCCATTTGTGATTCAATCCTGGTCAATGCATGAGTCAAATAGATAGCAAAAATTAATAACAAAAAAATTTTCGTTACTAAAATGCTGTCACAGAAAAAAATCTCAGTAAAGTGAGATATCGCATCAAATTTGTGGTAGATCTGAGAAAAATTTCTGCTTCAACAAAAGTTTTTACCCGAGTACTTCTACGTGCTTTTCAAAATTTAATTTGCGATCTAAGGACATTTTTAAATAACTAAACGTTGAAATATTTTCTATGTATTCTCCGTTCATTTTGACAACATTTATGTTTTTTGTATTTCTGGATCTTGTGCACTTTACCACTTTTGTATTGTCAGTGTTAAAGTATAGTTTGCTTTTAATTAACCAATGCTTTACGTCCATCTGTTCAGAGAGAAATCTTTTCAAAAATTACTCCATCTAAAAATTATCAAAAAGCACAATGGACCAATATTTCATTGGGCAAAAAATCAAGAAGACGCGTATCATAAATTTATAGAGAAAAAATGAAAAAATGATGTCCAATTTCTGCCATTCAAACTTGGTGACTTTGAGACAACACGAGAAAAGTGAGGTGCTCTTTTTGATTGAGCGACTATTTAAAGTTAATATCTTTTTTACGGTTTTTTGATTAGACTAATTATTAGGAACTTCGCGATGAACTCCACGGAATATAGATTATATTGTTTGATTTACCCTCCCTTTAATTAAGTTTAGTTTTTAGCTATACACTACCGAGACCTAGACTGTTTTCAACCAGGACCTTTTTCGAACAGGATCGATGAGTACATTGACCAATGATAGAAAGTGAGTTGAGCTGGGCCAATCAAAGCTGACCACGGTCAATATGTGATTCGGCCGCGGTCGGTACGCAAGTAAAATAGATGGCATTGATAACAAATAAAAACCGAACCTTCAATTGTTTCGTCACCGAAATTCTTCTGCAAAAGCTTGACACAGTTTTTAATCATAGTTGCACAGTACCGCAGTAGCAAACATTTTTCATCAAAAAATATATCAAATTGAAGCAATATGACTTTTTTTGGACTAAAGTTTAAAAAAATGTGTATCATAGATTTACAGAAAAGAAATGAAAGAACTGCTTGTCAAGTTTTTGTGCTTTGAAAAGATTTTAATTTTGTTGTTTTCTGGAGCAAAAACTAGAAGAGTGAGGAGCTCGTTTTTGGTTGAGCGACTGCTTATAAAAAGTCACTATTGTAGGGAACTCTAAGGTGATTAAATAATATAGAAAAGTAGCTTTATCGAATAGGACCGATGCTTCTTAGGTCGACCAGTGTTGATCAGGGTCAACATGCGACTCAAATGTAAAGGACAAATGAGTCAACCAGATGGCGTTGAGATCAATTTAAAATGAAATTTTTTTTTCCGCCAGAAGTGCTTTCGAAAAGCTATCTCAAATGTGAAATGTCAAACCGTCTATTTGGTACATCTATGTAAAGTTTCAGCTCCAATGAGTTTTTGATCATTTCAGGCTGGTTAAAAAGTTTCGCAGGGAAAAAATCTCCGTCAAAATAAATAGCAAAAAATATCAGCACGCATTTGAAGAATATCAGCAAGAGTAAATTTGAAGAATTTAACGTCAAAATTTATACGTTATTTTTGGGACACTAAGTAGATAGAAAAGTTGCGATAAAATGTTTTTGGAAATTGAATCTAATGTATGACCCACACTCTTTTCAAAAAAATTTTTTTTTTTATCTCAATGTTTTGCTTTTTGACCGAGAGTTTTTATCAAACAGGATCAAAGCTTGAATAAACCAAGGCTTTTGATAATCAGAAGTTTCCAGGAACTTTAAAACATCATAGAAAAACTGCATTATGAGAGTATGTAACTCAACCAATTTTAAAGTTAAACGTTAATTTTTCCAAAAAACGATTTTTTAAGTAAGATAAATTTAGTTTCAAAATAAACTAAAATCTGGAAACTACTTTTTGAAAAAAAAACAACCATCTAGAGAGAAAACAATATTGCCAATCTGTTAAACGCATACGCGAAGCAAAATTTCGCATCACATGCGATAACACGCAAGCGCAAAATTGCAAGCCAGCAAATTGTAACAGAACTAGACAGAAATAACAAAATAAAAAAAAATGTGAACAAAAAACAAATAGTTTCAGAAAAACAGTCGAAAAACAACAAAATTTATGAAATAATGTTTTAGCAATTACCGAGCGGCCACTATTCCCGCAACATGTGAAAAGACGCTAGTGAGATAAAAATAAAATAAAAGCCATAAAAAATGTTATCGTACAAAAATTTCAAACAGTCAACTTTTAAAATTTTAAATCTTGCATTGCAATACAAGTAACCTTGTTTTCAAAAAAATTATTTTTATTTTTTGCTCTTGATTTGTTAGAAAATGAAGTAACTAAGCTGAACAAAACATAAGCCGAAAAAAAGGTCAAATGAAGTTGGTATGCGAAAAAAAAGCGAAAAGGAAAATAAAGGAAACTATACTAAATCAGGGCTATTCAGTTTGCAAATTGCAGGAGTAAACTAAAAAAATTTTCATCTTCGATAAAAAAAAGCTGACAGCACAAGTTGATGGGGGTAACTAAGCCAACAAATTATGAGTAGATAAACGAAAGTCCGACAATTCTGTTTTTCTGGGAAAAAAGTTCAATTTCATACATACTGAAAAAAGAAAGGTCCGTCATAGACTCGCAACGCAGACATTAGGGTACAGAGGCAACCGCATTACCTCTAGGCCAAGTGGGAAGTAGTCTCGACTTTGCACTATTAAAATTGCACTATTAGAACAACGTAACCATTTCTCATAAACGTGTCAGAGAAGTTGTTTACGGGACAAAAGTCTAGTTCCCGATCCTTATCCTTGCGATAAACAAGGGCGTTGCAATCGTGTACTAGAATTTTTTCACGTAAAAATTTTAGTTTTTAAATGGTGATCGTAAAAATCATGGTAAACATACTCTCTGACATGCTCAGAATCTTAGCATTCAATTAAAAGTACCATCATTTAAGAAGTAATTAGTTAAAGAATGTTTCGGGTTGTAATAAAATTTTCAAAAGAAAAATTCAGTTTTTTTGGTTTACTGTTTTTGTTCTAGTTTCTGTCGGTTCTTTTTTCGTTTTTTAATGGCCATATTATTTATTTGGTATGTTTATTATTTGCTTACTTTGTAAAGTATGGGTTTTTTGCTAAATTACATACATATTAGAATAACTGAAATATCATTAGTTTGTAAATTTACCAAGTGTTATTTTGCGTAATTTTTTTTCTTTTCTTTTGTTTTAAATTTTGAAAATTTTTCATTATTTCGGCATAATCAAAAAATATTAAAAAATGTGCAGGACGTCTAGGATTTCGTGTTTTAGTATGCATGAGTCGTAACAACTTTAAGTATTCGTATGGCTGACATTGATTGTGATCGTCAATACAATCATCTTAATAACAATAACAAAACAGACTATTTGGCTACTGCAATAGCAGCATCAAAATCCTCCTGTTTCAGGAATAAGCGTTACTCTGTAGTCAGTTTTACAGTTATTATAAATTGTATTATGAAATTAAATCTCAGCCTCGCCCGATCAAATGTTTGACTGTTAAGAATTTCTGGCATTGACTTTTCGTTTTTTTTTCCTTTTTTTGCCTATTTTTTCTACTAATCCCAAACCCACACTGCTTTGAAAGCCTTGCCTAGCTCCAGTGTCTTCTGTCTAAACTTCCATGTGAACAAGTGGCGCTCTACTTTATGGAATCTATGTTCAGTTGCTTCTCTTGGAGGACTTCTAGTCGCCAACTCTGTTCTATAAGCTTCGAGAGAAACACTTTTTTAATTAGTCCGACATCTCCTTCTCTCCAGGTAAATGTTCCGCGACTGATTTCACAGAGTATTTCTCCGGATCCCGGTATCATGTCGGCTGTTTCTTAGGTAAATGTTCCGCCACTGATTTCACAGAGTATTTCTCCGGATCCGGGTATCATGTCGGCTGTTTCTTAGGTAAATGTTCCGCCACTGATTTCACAGAGTATTTCTCCGGATCCCGGTATCATGTCGGCTGTTTCTTAGGTAAATGTTCCGCCACTGATTTCACAGAGTATTTCTCCGGATCCGGGTATCATGTCGGTTGTTTCTTAGGTAAATGTTCCGCCACTGATTTCACAGAGTATTTCTCCGGATCCCGGTATCATGTCGGCTGTTTCTTCGGTAAATGTTCCGCCACTGATTTCACAGAGTATTTCTCCGGATCCCGATATCATTTCGGCTGTTTCTTTGGTAAATGTTCCGCCACTGATTTCACAGAGTATTTCTCCGGATCCCGGTATCATGTCGGCTGTTTCTTAGGTAAATGTTCCGCCACTGATTTCACAGAGTATTTCTCGGATCCCGGTATCATGTCGGCTGTTTCTTAGGTAAATGTTCCGCCACTGATTTCACAGAGTATTTCTCCGGATCCCGGTATCATGTCGGCTGTTTTTTAGGTAAATGTTCCGCCACTGATTTCACAGAGTATTTCTCCGGATCCCGGTATCATGTCGGCTGTTTCTTAGGTAAATGTTCCGCCACTGATTTCACAGAGTATTTCTCCGGATCCCGGTATCATGTCGGCTGTTTCTTAGGTAAATGTTCCGCCACTGATTTCACAGAGTATTTCTCCGGATCCCGGTATCATGTCGGCTGTTTCTTAGGTAAATGTTCCGCCACTGATTTCACAGAGTATTTCTCCGGATCCCGGTATCATGTCGGCTGTTTCTTAGGTAAATGTTCCGCCACTGATTTCACAGAGTATTTCTCCGGATCCCGGTATCATGTCGGCTGTTTCTTCGGTAAATGTTCCGCGACTGATTTCACAGAGTATTTCTCCGGATCCCGGTATCATGTCGG